TCAGGGAGGGAGGGAGTTGGTCAGGGAGGGAGGGAGGGAGGTGGTCAGGGAGGGAGGGAGGGAGTTGGTCAGGGAGGGAGGGAGTTGGTCAGGGAGGGAGGGAGGTGGTCAGGGAGGAAGGAGGGAGTTGGTCAGGGAGGGAGGGAGTTGGTCAGGGAGGGAGGGAATTGGTCAGGGAGGGAGGGAATTGGTCAGGGAGGGAGGGAGTTGGTCAGGGAGGGAGGGAGTTGGTCAGGGAGGGAGGGAGTTGGTCAGGGAGGAAGTTGTTCAGGAAGGAGGGGAGTTGGTCAGGGAAGGAGGGGAGTTGGTCAGGGAGGGAGGGGAGTTGGTCAGGGAGGGAGAGTTGGTCAGGGAGGAAGAGAGTTGGTCAGGGAGGAAGGGAGTTGGTCAGGGAGGAAGGGAGTTGGTCAGGGAGGAAGGGAGTTGGTCAGGGAGGAAGGGAGGGAGTTGGTCAGGGAGGAAGGGAGTTGGTCAGGGAGGAAGGGAGTTGGTCAGGGAGGGTGGGAGTTGGTCAGGGAGGGAGGGAGTTGGTCAGGGAGGGGGAGTTGGTCAGGGAGGGAGGGAGTTGGTCAGTTGGTCAGGGAGGGAGGGAGTTGGTCAGGGAGTTGGTCAGGGAGGAAGAGGGAGTTGGTCAGGGAGGAAGGGAGTTGGTCAGGGAGGGAGGGAGTTGGTCAGGGAGGGAGGGAGTTGGTCAGGGAGGGAGGGAGTTGGTCAGGGAGGGAGGGAGTTGGTCAGGGAGGGAGGGAGTTGGTCAGGGAGGGAGGGAGTTGGTCAGGGAGGGAGGGAGTTGGTCAGGGAGGGAGGGAGTTGGTCAGGGAGGGAGGGAGTTGGTCAGGGAGGGAGGGAGTTGGTCAGGGAGGGAGGAGGGAGTTGGTCAGGGAGGGAGGGAGTTGGTCAGGGAGGAAGGGAGTTGGTCAGGGAGGGAGGGGAGTTGGTCAGGGAGGGAGGGAGTTGGTCAGGGAGGGAGGAAGGGAGTTGGTCAGGGAGGGAGGGAGTTGGTCAGGGAGGGAGGGAGGTGGTCAGGGAGGGAGGGAGGAGGTCAGGGAGGGAGGGAGGTGGTCAGGGAGGGAGGGAGGTGGTCAGGGAGGGAGGGAGGGAGTTGGTCAGGGAGGGAGGGAGTTGGTCAGGGAGGAAGGGAGTTGGTCAGGGAGGAAGGGAGTTGGTCAGGGAGGAAGGGAGTTGGTCAGGGAGGGAGGGAGTTGGTCAGGGAGGGAGGGAGTTGGTCAGGGAGGGAGGGAGTTGGTCAGGGAGGGAGGGAGTTGGTCAGGGAGGGAGGGAGTTGGTCAGGGAGGGAGGGAGTTGGTCAGGGAGGGAGGGAGTTGGTAAGGGAGGGAGGGAGTTGGTCAGGGAGGAAGGGAGTTCAGGGAGGGAGGGAGTTCAGGGAGGGAGGGAGAGTTGGTCAGGGAGGAGGAAGGGAGTTGGTCAGGGAGGAAGGGAGTTGGTCAGGGAGGGAGGGAAGGGAGTTGGTCAGGGAGGAAGAGGGAGGGAGGAAGGAGTGGTCAGGGAGGGAGGGAGTTGGTCAGGGAGGGAGGGAGTTGGTCAGGGAGGAAGGGAGTTGGTCAGGGAGGAAGGGAGTTGGTCAGGGAGGAAGGGAGTTGGTCAGGGAGGAAGGGAGTTGGTCAGGGAGGGAGGGAGTTGGTCAGGGAGGGAGGGAGTTGGTCAGGGAGGGAGGGAGTTGGTCAGGGAGGGAGTTGGTCAGGGAGGGAGGGAGTGGTCAGTCAGGGAGGGAGGTGGTCAGGGAGGGAGGGAGGTGGTCAGGGAGGGAGGGAGTTGGTCAGGGAGGGAGGGAGTTGGTCAGGGAGGGAGGGAGTTGGTCAGGGAGGGAGGGAGTTGGTCAGGGAGGGAGGGAGTTGGTCAGGGAGGGAGGGAGGTGGTCAGGGAGGGGGAGGGGGAGTTGGTCAGGGAGGGAGTTGGTTGGTCAGGAGTTGGTCTGGGAGGGAGGGAGTTGGTCAGGGAGGGAGGGAGTTGGTCAGGGAGGGAGGGAGTTGGTCAGGGAGGGAGGGAGTTGGTCAGGGAGGGAGGGAGTTGGTCAGGGAGGGAGGGAGTTGG